TTCTATGGAACACCTCGACAATGTTAGGTACGACTCAACACATGTTCACCACACATGGTAACAATGTTCCTCTGGTCTGACTTACAGTTACAACGTAGCGGCGTGTAATATGATCTGAACAAGACGGAAAAAAATGTCCTCGGAGATCTTACACTTTCAGGCTCAGAGTTACTGAGGAGCGTGTCTCTTCATTTCTGTGGAGCCAGAAATAGCAAGTCATTAAGACAATGGCAGGTGATGGGCAGATTAGTAAGGCTCAGCAGAGGCAGCGTGTGATGAAGACAGTTCAGCCCAACAGAATTCTTTCCTTGTAACACTCACTCATCTCACTGACGTCATCTTTTGTTTTGATTATCTTCAGCACCTTCGGGCCAGCTTCCCATTTTCTCCTCGGTGTTAGAACTTGGAGCCAGAACTCGGTGATGGGGTTCGATGTAACGCTCGGTTTCTGAGGATTTAGTTTTAATGCGGTTTCCAAAGTAGAAATGAGACTGCTCCCCAGATGAGTACGAGGAATCACAGGAATGATGAGAGCTCCATCTGCTGTGATAATTTCAATTAACTTGGACATGAAAAGTGATTTTTGTTCCACGACTAAAAGCATGTCTAAGATTATTAACTAAACGCACATTTTACTTCGTCTGGTTTTATTAGGGCTGGGATACGAACGTTACATTAGAAACTTAGACGAAATGTTTTGTTACACCGTATATGTAAAGTCTATGGTCCAGTACTACTCAAATAGTGGGGCGGGCCCCCCTGGGGGGGCATGTAAGGTGCCGGGGGCTGGGAGGGGCATGAGAGGCTTCAAATGGAATATGGCTGGACATACTGTAAGTGTACTATTGGTGTAATACTTGAATGATAACAAGCCTCCAGTCACTAGGTGGCAGCAACTCTTATAGTGGTTTGTACTGATTATAATAACATACATGTTATCAGGTTCTTGATACTTTTTCAATTCGTGGGGGTGTGGGTTTGGCGCCCCTATCGCCCTCAAATGTAATTGCTATTTTTTATAAAAGGTTAGGGTATCCTCCTCTCCAGCAGATGGTGCTCTAGGTGAGTGTTTGCCTATGCAGCCTTCGTGTAAATTAGCATGGTTGTTAAGCAGTATATCAGGTGTTCTCCAGTTCTCCTTAGCTGTGTTGGAACTTGCAGCCAGTTCTCCTCCTGTTCCTTCTGGGTTCTCTGGTCCTGTGACCTGGGGGGGGGGGGGGGGGGGGGGGGTCGTATGGTGGTAGACACTTTAAACATTTCGGCCGTTTCTGTCGCTCTGGCATATTCTTGTTTTTTTCTCTCCTCCGTTCTCGTTGCATGTGACCTATACTGCGCCACACTGCCCCCCCATGATTGTCCATGGTAGACGTAATGAGCACAGATGACAGATGAGGGCGTCCATGTGTGTACAGTATTTAGCGTGCAGCATAAATGAGGCTGTGGACCAGGGGTCTCAAACTCTTTTCGGTTCATGGGCCACATACAGCCAGATTAGAGTGTGTGTTGTTTGAGTATGTTTTCCTCCAAGTAAGTACAAGTATATTAGAAAATATTCATTTATTTAATGAAATATAATTTGACAAAACATCACAAACGTGTTTGTTCATGTTTTTTTGCTTTCATAAATCATCTTTGGCCAGATTGAAGACCCTAGCGGGCTTATTTTGGCCCGCCAGCCGTATGTTTGACACTCCTGCTGTAGACATGTAGACAACATGAAGATATATATATATTTGTATTATTCCTTCCTCCTCTCAGTACTAAATGTATTTGACTGCTAAGTGTTGCAGAAACCCGTGTATTTTACCCAGAAAGAATGATGTAGTTCAATGTGTACAAAGTTTGCAGCAGCCAAAGAAACTTGGTTTCCAGACTTCGGGGATCAGGGGAATAGTGTATGTACATTCGGTTCTTCTCCTGGATCTCATGTGGATCATTTCCTAGTTACTTGCTTTGATGATTTTCTTGATGGCAGATGACAATTAGAGAGGATGTTCCAGAACTGTGGTTTCTGAGTGTCGTCTGCGAGTCTCTCCAGGTCCGGTGGGATACCGTTGTTGTGTTCTGCCAGATAATCTAAATCCTCTTAATCCCCTTTGGCCCGCTTCAGCCATTTGATTGCTCCTTGTATTTTTATAATGTATTTCTCTGTGTTTTTTTCCTAATCTGGTTTATAACTTTCACACAGTGTGTGTGGCTGAGGTGAGATTAAAGGACTGATCCAAGAATTAGGAGAATTATCATTATCAGCGATGATGTTGGGCAGTGCGCTATCTATGTAATGTATAAACATGATTATTGTTTTTTTTTTTTTCTTTTAATGATTTGTTTGTAACCAGTGATGTTAATGTGTCTGAGCTGAAGCGTTTGTCTGCTTTGGAAGTTTTCTCCAGGCGACTGTGGACAGATTTTTGTTTTGCGGATTTCACGGATCGTGCAACACAAACCAAAGTAATTCATTCGGTGATAAGCACAACAAAAGGGAGGAAAAACAGCAGTGTCAGCAGCCATCGAGATAGTAGAGTATGATAGGTGAGTGCAGCTCCGTGATCAATCTGCATACGCACTTGCAGGCCCATGAAGTACATTTCAAAGTCCAGTGCTTTAGAAGAATGAAATATCGGAGTGCATACTTGGAGTTTTGTCTTTCAGGTGGAGAGGGGGATTCTTAGGTTAGAGACAGAAACCTAAGAAAGAATCTCTGATTGGTCTAAATCGTGGTACGAATAAAATGATCAGTTTCACTGCAGTGACTGCAGTGATGAATATTAGTATTGATATTATATACGTGGATTAAAGTATCATCAGGATATGTCATTGTTTGACAGTAGACAGTAGATGTTATTTAAATAATGGGTTTTTAATGCACCACATAATAATTAAAGTATCATCAGGATATGTCATTGTTTTTGAACAGTAGATGTTATTTAAATAATGGGGTTTTTAATGCACCACATAATAATGAAACAAACAGGAATTTAGATACAGATTAGTGACTTTTTTAGCTATTTTTCTTTTTCAATACCAAGACCGGTACTTTTTTGTGATTTTTTTTTCAAACCAATTAAAACACATGACAAATATTGACCATTAAACTCTTTTTGTATATTATTCCTTTTTTTTTTTTTTAAACAAGACCATTAAGGATTCGATCACATGATGTCACTGCTCTGCTCTAGTCACTGGTCATGTGACATGAATGGATCAGTTCAGTTTTACGCAGACAAAAGCCTGTAGGTAATAATTTACTTTTTGCACTTTTTAAATTAATGAATCAGTATCAATACTTTATGAGCGTAATTAATACTCGTATAAGAAATATATATCGATACCACGGAGCCGATACTCCCATCAGTACTACAACTCTGTCCAGCTCCAGCCCTACAGACAAACTATCGCTGCAGCAGAGTTTATTTATGTGCCTAATCACTGAGTGCTATGATTGGATATTTTTGTTTATTTTCCCAATTTTATCCCCACGTCCATGCCAAGGGTAAATCATACATCTGTCTAATTTCTTGCTTGTCAACTGCCATCTGGTGCAGCATCAACAATAACAGCAGAAAAAAAAGGTATCGGATCATCAGTCACACACATACAGGAACAACACAGGCGCTGACGTCATACTGACAAACTGCCCCTTTATCTTGTCCTCCATTTAGATGAGTTGGACTATACGTATGATTTTTTTAAATGTTCAAACTTAATATAAAATCTGTAGAGTCAGGCTTTGTAATAATAAAACCACACGACCTGCGGCTCCATAATTAATCAGCTCTTTAATTAGTGGCTCCTTTGATCTAAGTGGCCACCATGACTTAAAAATGTTATAATTTTCTTTTTCTTTCTTTGAAAGCCTTGGCAGAAAAACCACACCTCAGATGACCACAGTGGCCAAAGCCATTACAACAGAACTGTAGCTGTAAGACATAATGTAGCGCCTGGCAGCTAATCAAACAAACAACGGTTCATTCATCCTGGGTCTGAGGAAAGACTTAAGGCCGAATCCTGGCCAGACGTACAGCAGCTGTGGTCAGAACTGAAACTGCGAGTTCAGCAGTCAGTGTGAAAAAATGTAGCCGTGCACCAACCGATTCACAATTTGGGGGGCAGTGGTGGCGATCTGGGGCAATGATGGCTTGGTTAAGGGGGGCAGTGGTGGCGATCTGGGGCAATTAGGGGCAACGATGGCTTGGTTAAAGTAGCGGACTTGGGTCTGGAAGGTTTCAGGTTCGAGTCCACCAGCTGCCAAGTTACCACTGATGTGCACCGTCCCCACACACTGCCCCCCAGGTCACTTAAACTGCCCCCTGCCGACTTTAGTGATGGGTAAAAAGCAGAGGTCACGTTTCAAAAATTAGATTTTTATAGGCTGCTTGTTATTAACGCCCCTAGTGGAGACAAATGTAAATTCGTTTCAATTCAATAACAGCTTTAACAGAGGAGATGCTAATGCTAATGAGTTTTGGCACTAATTAAATCTCACTAATTGAGCGTATTGATTAGTGCTACTATTGCATCAGATAGTTATTCGCAGTCTCACTTTACTGCAGTTTTTTTTTTTTTTTTTTTTTTGTTTAGTATTTTTAAATCCACATGTAAATACAAGCATTTGGGTGATTCTGATGTAAACGTGGGTGAATAATTAGCCACTTCACTGCTACTTATTGATTTAGACTGTGTATTAATAGGTTTGTGATTGATGTTAGCCCCAGCGCTCCGCTGCTCCTTGTTTTGTTTTGTTTTTTCACAGTGACTTTTCTAATATATTATAGAGTGAATATAGTGAAATATGACATCGACTCAAGGCTGACACACGGTAAATCACTTCTTTACAACTTGGTTCCCAGGTGGGTATTTGCACTAAATCACACACACACACATTAAAGATTCAGACACACACACACACACATCAGCCCACATCTCCACAGAAGTCCGGACTTTTTGTGTTTTCACGCTTCTCAAACTTTTATTCCATTTGTTTCCTAATTGGCTTGCAGGTGACGGAGACACGGACGGGCCCGCTGGGATGCAGCAGCTACGACAATCTGGACTCGGTTAGCTCAGTCCTGTTGCAGAGCCCCGAGAGCAAGCTTCATCTGCAAGGTAAACACAGACAGACTATCAATATTTTCCATACGCCGCCCTGTGGTGTGTGACACACCAGGCCAACGGGGTCAAACACAGTATTGGACACTGAAATACCCTGAGGTCAAATAGAAATACAGCCTGTGTCGCCTCAAAAATGGAATGTCATTTTCTTTATTTTAATTGCGATTGAGACTTGAATGGATCTTTTTTTTTTTTTTTTCAAAGCCCTCAGAGAATTGTGATTTGATTCTGTGCGGTTATTGATGTTGGCTCACGTTTCAGTGTGATTGTGTTCAGGAGTCTCTGTCGAATCTCTAATCAAAGACCATCACCGACGGCAGCGTGAACTCATTGAACAGATGAGTCCTCTGATTTAAGAGTAGGAGCTGCCATTTGTTATGCAGTGCCAATTAATAACAGGGACTACTGCGAACAGCACGGGGTCAAAGAGTTCCAAGACAGACACTGCCCCATCCACAGCAGGATATGAGCCCGGTTACTTTTTCTTTGATCAGGTTTTTTTTTTACCCTTTTAAAAATGACAAACAAAACAACTTTTGAGTTTATCAAACATAATTTATTTTTAATCAAACTTCAATGAAAGGAAGACATTTTGATCAGTTTGACTAAAAACTAACAGAACATCTGAAAGCAACAGGATTTCATTCCATAGACAGAACAAAGTTATTTCTTATTTTCTTTAAAAAATAACAATAAAAAGGAAATCCCTGATGCAAACATCGCTTTGAGCATACATAGGCAAACTAGGGCCCGTGGGCCAGGTATGGCCCCCTGGGTTTTCTTATCTGGTCCACCTCCATTGCATAAATGCATAAATGTGATTGTAATGTTAATGCTTCGATTTCATGCATTAGAATGAATTGACAATAATTTAGGTTATCGCCATTAGATGGTGGCATACATCAAATGTGCCGAATTGTCTTTGAAATTTTAGGCTTAATCTTGCCAAGTCTTCTACATGAAATACTGTACCAGTAGGGCTCAAATTTTGAACCCCATTTTGGCCCATGAGCCAAAGATTTTGCCCACCAGTGACTTATATAGTGAAATATTTGACCTCAATGAAGGAAATGTAGCTACATGAATTTTTCTTTACATTTTTCCTATAATTTTTTGACGTGCCCTCGTGTTAATTATCGTAATCAGTATAAACACTTGAATAATGACCTCTCTTCTTCTTCTAAATGTTTTGGTTTCACACGTTTTCCTTTCATGAGCGATTGTCTACATTTCTGCTGACAGACCACAAATATCAGATGTCAACTCTATTAATATTAGCTCTCGTGATCCCCTGTGGAAAAAAGCAGTGTCTCAAATATTGACAATGGCATTAATGAGTCTAAGAAAGGCGGCGCAGCAGTGGCAGTTTCCCAGGAGGAGAATGATGAAAGGCTGCGGAACTGTGGTCAAGTGTTTGCCCAGAACGATTGGTCATTTGGTTTATTTGAGCGTTTTCAGGTTATTAAAAGCAGTTTGAGAATCAAAGAGGCGCACTTTGAATTCAAATCCTACTTCCTGCTCCACTCACTGGAGGAAGGATCGTTTCTCAGTTTGTCAAAGGAACGCTTTTAACTGCACTGCTGCCACTTCCTGCAGACAGAAAAAGGGAAGCTCTAAAGGTTTTATTTTGGGCGGGTGAAAAAAAAAAAAAATCTGTACTCACATGCTCTGAATGTATCGGACTGGAGCTTCGAACAACTCTTTGTTAGCAATTGATAGATGACAGGCGAGTGAAGGATTCTCGTTTGGCTTAATAATCACTGTAAGAGAACGGAGGAGCTCTGGTGGTGGTTTCTGATGAAAGGCCAAGTTCTCTGGGTGTGTGTCGCTGTTTTTCTTCGTCTGTTTGTGTGTGAGGGTAAAAAAAAAAAGATGAAATTCGTCAGAAAAAAAACCAACTGGCATCGCGGCGTTTAATTAGAGGACAGTGGATGATGTAACGTCTTCAGTCATAGAAGACATCGATTTAATGGCACTTCAAACAGACCATAAAGTGGCATGTGTTCAGTGAGAGGGAGCTTGAAAGGTCTTTTCCTCTAATACATTTATTCATAACGATCTGCAGTCATTTGACTTCGGCTACGGTTTTCATTTGCCAGGATTTTTTTGGGAGCGATTCAGTCATTATTTTTTTTATTTTTTTTTAGATCCATTCATTTGCATTTATAATTTATTATCCTCCTTGGCTAGGGTTCTAGCTCACATTTTCTTAAGGATATACGTCATCTTTACAGTCCTTTCACACAGTTGTTATACTGCAGTTGCACCTTTTGATTATTAGTCACGTCGTTGAAGCCAAAAATCTTCACGTTCTTTTTTCTTTGAATTCTTATTTTTTGAAAGATCAAAATCCACATCTTCTCTTTATTTATTCCGTCTACTTCACCTTAAATGAGTCTACACGTCTACCTGCAGTGGAGTCTCTACGACAGTTAGTCACAGGATTGACTTTCAGTTCCTGGTTGTCTTCTTCTTTGGACCGTGTTGCCAGCAGAAGTTGCCAGAGGCGTTTCATTTAAAATGCTCTGTGCGCTGTCTTCCTCTTATCACAATATTTCAATAATGCATTGAGGTAATCTTCCTGAATTTGGAATAATCATGGACATGGACACATGGATTTAGTGAGCGGTCAGATCCTGCACGTACACAGGAACGGCATCATGGAATCATTACTTTTTTAAAAAAAAATACACTCACTGACGATGCATTACACTGCAAATACCAGGGGCAGCTGGAAAAACAGTCGAGACAATGACGACCATCGAAGTAGTAAACAGTTTATATAACCTGGGCTTATTTTTAAAAGCTTACACAAGACACAATGAATAAATACCACAGACTGAAGCTGGGAAATAAGGCCACGGTCTGAGTCCAGCTCTGCTCTAATAAGCACTTTGGAACTCTCCACAGTTCTATTGAACGCCCACCATGTCTCGTTTTTAAACATCCGTTGACCTTTTATCAGACAGTTACCTAAAATCCAAACCGTAAAAAGTCAGTCTGGTTGGGTTTGTGCGTTCAAGTACGGCTGAGAGAGAAGGCGCACCGTGCTGCGTTCATGGTCATCTGTACAGCACTGGGTGGAGGAACCTCCTCAGTCAAGTGATGGTTGTTTGGGTGACTGGAAACAGCAGCGGTAATCAGCTGCAGGTTGGTGACAGCTGAGTCGCTAACAACTACCCAAGTCCCAGTGGCTCATCAGTGTTAATGGATCAACCATTAACACTCATTGTCCTCTCACTGTGACTGTGACTCTCTCAATGAGTGTCTGTGTGAACCCTGGCTAAAATAAAATAAAATAAAATTAATTAAAATTAAATAAATAAGTAAAGTAAAATATATACAAAAAAAATATTAGAAAATAAAATTAAACTAAATCAAAAATGAAATAAATATTTAATTCAAGTCTACAGATTTGATAATTATTTGATGAAACTGAGATTTATTCATATTTACTTATATATATTTTTGTACCTCACACCCAATATATGAATATGTATAAAAATATACCATGTGCTGTATGTGAGGCTTGGTATATCATGAATTAAATGAGGAAATTGTCACTTAAATACAGTGTGACAAAGGAGAGCTTTAATCAATAATCAATAATCCTGTTGCTGTTCTTCCGACTCGTTTCTTTCCTCATTTCACTTTTTCTATTTTTTTCCTTTTTTCTTTCGTGAATTCACTTTTTCTATTTTTTTCCTTTTTTGTTTTGTGAAAAAAAAAACACGCAAGAAAATAAACCACTGGTTTGCAACTCCACATTTTACAGCTTAGACTTAGTTTTGGTGAAATTAACTTTAAAAAAAAAAAGACCTGCGCAGCATTTAGGGTTTAAACATAGAAAGGAAACTACAACAGTGGTGAATTTAGTCTTGGTCAAATTTCTTCTGAAGACACTAACTTTAGTATGCTAGCTGTATCTCCTTTTTCTCCCCCTCTCTCTCCCTCTCTCCCACTCTCTCCCACTCTCTTCCCCACTTCCTTGCTTCTCACCTCTGTGATCTGCTCCACGTCAGCTGGTGGGGCTGTGAGCTTTAGATAACACAATATGACACTCCCTGGATATTCCTTCTGTCTTCTCCCGGGTTTCATTTTGAACGGAGCACAGTGGAATCTGACATCAAAAGCGTTACCCACCTATCAGTCCGCACTCAGAACTGTTTTAACTCTGGACTTCATGCATGACTCAGCAGAACTCACGTAAAACTTTTTAGTTCCTTAAATCCCTGACGTGAGTTTTGGCACATCAGCGCCCCCCCATGTACTACAACCCCCATAGACACCACCCTCCTCCCCGCCCTACCGGCAGCCGGCAGCGGCAGCACAAATGGGCATCGGAGTGTGTCATTAGCAGAGACTATTTGTGGACAAGGAACTCATTGATCCTAAACCTGTCACCCAACATAAATAACAAAATAACCTTGCACACACCGAAGACTCTCAACAAGATATAATTGACCTATTTTGTGTCTCAAATTACCCAACGGACCAGAGGCAGAGCAGCGAAGACCATAAATCCAATCTTCCATCCCAGCATAGATTATTTTCTCCAAAAAAAAAAAGAAGAAGGAAATCTTGTTTTGTTTATCCTCTGATGTCTGGTCTGAATGGATCTGCACTGTTTAGCAGAATGGGGATTTAGAAACACACTTGTTCTTCCAAAGTAATTTGCTTTTTGTTTGTCCGTCCACTCCCCAGGCTAAGACTTTGAAACCTGATGTTATTAGTGTTGGCTGAATTCTCACCTTCTGCCCCCTGCTGGGACCTGAAAAAACAGATAAATAGAACCACAGTCTAAGTGATAAAGAAAAAGAACAGAATTATTATTGGAGCAGTCAAATTGTCACAATTGGTCAGAATCTCATTTCGGTGTTTTTTGCAGTTGTTGTTTTTATTTTTATATTCTTTTCTCATTCTAATTCTATGCCATCTGTTGATTTAACTTTAATGGCAAACAGAAATGGGCTTTTGATATATTATGCAACAGA